CTTGCTGCCCTGCAGGCCTGGTGCTGAGACACCCCCCAGCCCAGCCCGGACGCCAGCTGTTCTCAGAGCCAGGCCAGGGGCTTGGAGTGAGCACACGGGGCTGCAAGGGGGGTTGGGGAGGGGTGTCCCTCACCATCTCTGCCATGGGATGAGCCCAGTGAAGTCCTGGCCCCACCCCCTGCCTCAGTTTCCCCTCCCAGCCTGTGCGAGCTCCTTGGGGCATCGTCCTAACACGCCTCACGGAGAGGTAGGGCCTTGCCCAGGAAATAACCCAGGCGTGCGGGGCAGGGGAAGGGGGACTCACCAGTTTCTCCACGTTCACCAGCCCGTCCAGAAGCGTCTTGCTGCCCTCGTGCACAAACGTCAGGTCTGGGGGGCAAAGCGGGAGAGGGACGAGGTGAGCAGAGGCCAGACGGCCTCCGGCCTCCCATCTCTCCGGGAGCCCCCCTCCCCATGGGCATCTGGCCAGGCCCCAGTTCAGAGCTAGAGACAGAGGGATTCCTCCCAGGGCTGCTGGTTCTGGGGCCTGTGCTGGCCCTGGGTTCACACGCTCTGCCTGAGGGCAGAAGGGAGTCCCCAGAATCCTTAGTGCCCCAGCACTGAAATGCAGCTGCTTCTGGGGTGGAGCCCGGCAGCTGCCAGTGCACATGGGGAAATCCCAGCAGGTGGCAGTGGGGGAGGGAAGGGCACAGGCAGGGCTCCTTCTGCCTAATCGAAATGAGGCCACAAAGGGGCCGGGCCCTGGGGGAGCGACAAGAGCTCAGGAAACCCAGCGCCCCCTGACTGGAGTCAGCACTGACATAGAAGGGAAAGCGCCAGGCTGGGGAAAGTGAGTCATGGCAGAAGGCACCCCAGGAGGCATAGACAGGAGCCTTGTAAAGCCCCACTCCCCCCTTCTCCCAGCTGTAACCACTGGGTAGCGCTTCCCGGGGGGGACCGTACCCAGCGCTCCTTGCTGGCCAGGGCTCACCTTTCAGGATGAGCGGCACAAAAGGGATGAGGGGCGGCTTCATCTTGAAGAGGACCTCCCTGTAGGCTTTGTGATTCCGGCAGGGGTCCTGCGGGAGTGGGGAGGGGGCACAAGTCAGGGGTGGCTCCAGAGGGACCCCCGCCAAACTGCCCAAGGGACTGGGCTCTTCAGAGCCAGGGCCAGGCCTGGGACATGCAGCCAGAGGCAGCAGGGCAAACCCCTCGGGGGCCCCGGCTGAACCTCGTCAGCACCCAGCCCGCTGGCACTCCAGGCTCTGCTCTGGGGAGCCAGGCCTGGCTAACATCCCCGTGCTGGCAAAGCCCTGGCCTCACAAGGGGGTCTCCATGCAGCACTGAGCACGTGATGCCCAGTCGCCCGGCTCGGCCCCGACGAGGCAGCACGGCCTAGTGAGCCCAGCGCGGCTGGCCCCATTTTCT